AAGTTCTGGTCCTGCACTAGTATTTTCACAGGATGGGGAAAAAATAGACTAGCTGCACAACTTGAGTGATCATAAGATATCTCTCTATTGACTTTGAAACCAGTGACAATACTGGTGAAAACTGTTTTGCCTTTTTTATTTTCAAACAGCTCTTTGGAAACGTTTCTTTGCACTATTGTGACCCATTGGAAAGAAGGTCCAAGTATACAATATTTTGGAAAAAGCAGTTGGAAAGGGTACAAAAAATTTACAACATACTGAAGACTTCCCAGGCATCAGGGAAAGGAGATAAAGAAAATAAGAAAGTCCTTCTATTCCTTCTGAATAAAATTTAGCATTGAAACATTACACTTCAGAATGACTTAAACCAAGGAATACAGCAGATGAGATGAGGGACACACAAGAACTTTAGAAAAAGAATATTTAAATGCTAGGCCTACAATACGGCAGACTATCTCCTAAGGATGGATGCTTAATGATTAAAAGTTATTGTTGTAAGGATAATCAATTAGACTACACTCTTTTAAACTGGTTTTTCTCAATGACAGTAAGGACTTGTATGATATTCAGGAAAATCAAGTCCAAACTTGAAAAATCCAACATAAGTTGCAATTTTTTGGTGTTCATTCTTAAAAAAGAATTCCAAGGTAAATTATGGCTGTTCAGAATAAAACTTATGTCTCTTGTTCTAATCAGATAACCACATCCTTATGTCATGGACTCAGGGTTACAGTGGGTGCCCAGACATGCTCTTGGTGCACATGAAGCACACCAGGTACTTGGGCTACATTAGAGCAGAGTGCCAAGTGTGGGGTTTTGTGCCATGCTCACTCTGTTCATCACTAGCAGGTGGGGCTGTAGCTGAAGCACTGGATTCAGGTTTGGGCAGTCCATGAAGGATGAGGAGAAACAGGGAAGCATTCAGAGGAAGGATGCCAAGGTCTGTAGTGGCCTAGAGCATAAGCCTAAGGACGAGTTTGAGACAGCAGTGCTTGTTTAAACCTTTTGAAAAGGAGTCTAGGGAGTTACCCTATACCTGTCCTACAACCATCTGCAGGGATGTTAAAAAGGTGTCAGACATATTTTTCTTCATAGGGTGAGGTCCTGTGAAGGGAAAACGTCCAATAATAGCAGTTTGTGGGATTCAGATAACACTCTGGTAATAGGGTTGGGGAAAGTTTCTAAACCTTTTGCTGGAGTCCTTATGGATGGCTGAATATTAATAATTGGAGGTAACTGACTAAATGAAGCTACAGACAAATATACTCAGCATTGAAAATACTCCTCTTTGAGAAGAGACAGACTGGGTACCTTCAGAGGTCTGTTCCAGTCTATGTGTAATCTGTCATTCTACAGATAACTGTGAGGTGTCTTGTGTTCAAGGCAACGAGACAGAGTTTAGTCTCTTGAGCACTTCCAGTGAATCAGAAATCAGTAAATTGGCAGTGGTGGATTACATCAACCTGACATGCCATAGATCCCTTTCTGCCATGGAACAGTGTAAGCAGAGCATCAGAGATGGAAACACAACTGCCCTCCAATTACTGCATCTCCCTCTTGAGCTGCGGCATTTTATTATGCTAAAAATCTCTATACCCTTATCCTGAGAATCTTCTGCTCATTAATGCAATATTTTTGGAATAGTATGGACTCCATACTTCAATGTAAAAGCTTTTACTTGATGCAATGCTATACAAATAAACTCTATGGGAGAGATAGCTACAGAGATATCTTTCCTTCCTTCCAGTGTATATCTTCAAGTGATCTCTGTGCCTTGAAAATTCTGCAAAAAGTCCAGGACACAAATATTTGCGTGAATTGGAAATCAGAAACATTTCTGATCAGATCACTTTGAATTTTGATCTTGAAACACTTTCAGAAAAGTTCTTCTTACTTTCAACATTTCATGCTACAAAATGATGCACTTTGAAACTCCAGGACTTGAGACAACTTGATGCTCACTTCAAGAGATGGTTGCTGGGCTGTGTTAAAATACTTTTCCTTTGTGAAAATAAGAAAAACCTCTGCTGAGCATTAAGGCATCAAATTGACCTCTAGGTAATCACACAACAGAGTGACTGTGCTGAACCTGCAGGCTCAGGGCCACAAATGTCACCCTCTGCTTGTCTGAAAAACATTTTTTAGTTCCTGAGTATTTGCTGAGGACAAAATAAGAGCAATACAAGTGGTAAAACCTAAAAAGGTAGTGGAAAACAGAATACTCAATAAAATCTTTTCCCTAGTGCTCATAAGAGGCATAATTAGAGATTCTTCTTAGTCTTCCTGCTATTATTATTCCTGTTCTTATTCTTATTTTATAGTACACTTATGCAGGAAATTAGATACTGCTGAATGACTGATAATGATGCTGTATTAGGAACAAAAACAGCTGATACTTTCAGAATTATCTGACATATTTAATGACCTAATTTAGTTTTAAATTTTATAAAAGAAACTGCCACTGTTCTAGTCTATTTGAAAGGAATGCCATTTTCTGTATCTTTAATATGTGAGAAAAAATTAAAGCTTCTCTTTGTGAACAGTATATGACCCCAAATACCCAGGAGAGCTATCTCTGCACTGGAGAAAGACATAGTTAAAGCAAAGGAAAATAAATAAAAGGAAATGACAAGCCTAGCAAAACTCAGGCAGTCTTAAAAATAAGAATAAAATCCACTTTCAGTGCTATTGTTAAGGGACAGGCTGTGATATAAAAAGTTACCAATTGTTTACGAGTTCCTAAATCTGTTCTGTTTTCTAGAGCAGACTTTTTTTTTAGTGATTAACTAAAACTTGCATCTTCTCCTGACTCTCACACAAAGAAAATGGTGATGCTGTCAGTGTCTTCCCCCACTCCACATGCTTGCAACTGGAATATGGTATGTAAAGACATACATGCATGGCTGCACAGACTCCAATTTGGATAAAAATCCCTTGGCAGCAATGCCCAGTCATGCACAGGATGGGGATCTACATTGCTCTGCTATAAATAAGGTTAAAGAAAAGCATCGGAAATTTGCCATCTGTTTGGCTGACCCAACAAGGCAGGTGGTCTTTCTCTTCCATATGGTCAACTTCCTAATAACTAGAGGGTGGCCAGGACTCAGTCACCCTCTTTTAAAGCAAAGAAAAGCAAAACATTGTGAAAACATTCTGGATGTCACTGAACCAAGATGTACAAATCTTACTGGCAGCCTTCTTTTTGAACAATTTTTTCACATTTCAATTCTGAGGAAGTGTTGTGAGATCCAAGTACTTTTGTGCTTATAAGAGAGAGAGGGAGGGAGTGGTTAAATGGTGGAGAGTCTCTATCACAGAGGAAAGTGGAAAGAAGGATGCATACTTTTGTGTGTAGGGTGTACTACAGAAAGAAAACAGAGAAAATAAATTCTTCGTTTTTTGTGGATGTTTGAAGAAGTCAGGCAAGCATTTGACTTGAACCACCAAAGTCTGTAGTTTCATCCAAGTATCTTTTAAAAAGATAAGCCTATTGACCAAATCTGACAAGTTAAATTTCTCTGAAGAGATTTATTTTTTAAGATAAGATTTTGCCACCAAAATGTGTGCTGTAAACTGTAAAAGCTCAAACTTTTCTTTTATACACCTTCAAAATAACTTCTATTTATGCCACAGTTTTATGTATTTTCATGATATGCCATATTCAAATGTGCCTTCTTGTTGCTGGTCAAGCTAGGATTAGATTATACTATCCTCATCTGCAAAGGAAGGTCCCAGGCATGCACCCACTGCTCATCATGCACATATTTTGTGCATATTTACATTGTGCTCTCTGAGAAAAAGCAATATAACTGTGATATCCCCAAAACAATAAGCCTGTAGTGACTGGAGTTCATGGTGGTGTTGAAGGCTGTGAGTGGCACATCATTTTAATTTAAACACAGATTATATTAATTATACAGAAAACTTTATCAAGCATGAAGAACATTCCAGTTTATGTTCAGCCAGTTGGGCCTGCCTGTAATTCCTTGTCATCTAGTGTCTGAGAGCTGAATTTCTTTGCCTAATCATATTCCTGCTTCACATGCCTGTCACAAAAAGTTTCACCATTCCTCAAAAATTGCCTGTTTGAAGAGAGTTATTAGCAGAAAGGCTGCATATGATCACTTTTGAAAAACTTGATCTGTTTTCATTCCTAAAGAAATCTTATGGAGGTACACTGCTGATGTTTGTGTGTGAGACCAAAAATAGAATTGGAATTAAGTCCCAATCTCTAAGCATGTGTACATTACATCAAGCATCAAGTGTGGGTACACTAAAGAAATAATAATACTAGTATTGAGATATTTTATTTTATCCATGCAGAAATGCTTACTTAGGTGACTATTTTTTCATTTAGGTAGGAAAGTGGTACATGAAAAGAAAAATTATAACTTTGAGATAAAAACTGGGGCTTCAGTCTGGTCATGTTGTGATATCATCAGGTTTGCAGAAGATGAAGTGGAAAGAACACCTCTTAGCTTCTGGCTTTGGCTAATGACAGCTGCCTCAAAGAAACTAATAAACACAGTGCAAAGGTATAGTAGCACTCCTATGGAACACTGCCTATAAATATCAGTGTCTCTTCAACCTACAAAATATTTATAATAAAAGACCTCTCCCTTATGTTTCATCACCCTTTTCTTTAACTGTACTAATTTCACCTCATTCTTTACCAAACAAAGGAGAACCTAACTGTAGACAGTTCTAAGGAAGAAAGGCTACCAAAGACCTGAGTGGAATCTGAACCTCAGCAAATACTGCTTGAAACTTAGCTGGAACAAATCCAGCTATTTTTGCTGCGCCTTTATCCACAGCACTCTATAACAAAATTTATTATCTTTATTATCTTTGTTCATCATTATTTGCTTTCCTTAGCTCATGGTCACCATGGACAGTAGAACTACTCACCCAGATATGCAGAATTATTCTGCATATCTTCTGCTTCTTTATACTGAGTGGTTTTTGCAATTATAAAGCAATACAAGTAACATGCTACTCACTTGTATTTATCTTCTGAAGTGAAATGTGCTTTTCCAGGTGTCTACGAAGCTTTACCTCTGCTCCATATTTACCAGTAGTACCATTGTCAGCCAAAATAAAATGAGAATGCATGCTGTTGAGCACTGTCAGCTTGCTCATGGGATTGGACATCGTCTGGTATGGTCGGACCACCTGCATTTTAGAAACAAAGGAAAAAGAAGAGTTTCTACAAGTTTCTAAACAGAAAAGCACCTCTGTACTAAATCATTACAAGATTCAAGCTTACAAGATGAAACAAAAGAAATAATCAAAATTAAGGTACTGCACTTGAGTGTTACTGTCTGTTATGTGTAGAGAATGATCTTAACATTGCCCTTTGAGATGCAGACATGGCTTAAAGTGTTTTCCATGGTAACCTGTTTCAGTAGTACCAGTGTTCACTGCTTCTTTTAAAATCCAGCTAATGGTCAGTGTTCCAAAGGTCTGGGTGACTACATACATCTGTATGCCCTGTATACCCTGTCTGCTGCTGACTATCTACAGCATTGCTGTAAAATCTCACCTTGCTCTGACCAAATTCTTTGATTCTTCCTTCACAGACCCCACCCAGCATCATGGCTCAAGTGTTGGTTCATCCAGAACCACCAGCACTGGAGACACACAAATACAGGTGAGTTCTATTCTTGGAGAGGTGTACACATGATATTACACCACATTTTCAATTTTCTTGGAAAAACTATTGGCCCACTCCTAGCATCAGTAAAAGGGCAGTTGTTTGTGTTCACAACAGCTTTAGAAAGTTTCTGTTCAATGGGAAGTTTGCTTCACTTCCTTTGATTTGATCTCATCAGGGGAAACTGAGTGCAGCAGACAGATTGAAATACACCACTCATAACCACCAAATAAGACTAAATACGACCAAATAAGAGCATGGGGTCACATTTGGCTGTCAGCTGCTTTGGTGGGTATCTATGGACACAAGTAAGTAGACTTACTTGCAAGTAAGACTGTACTAACATGGCAAAAGAATTGGTGTTGTCTTGAGGCATTCTTACTGATACTTCAGAGATTTTCTAGCTGTACTATTACATGCCTTTCCTCTGTATGTCTTGTCTTTTGGGAGAGACAATGCTGAAAATCTGTAAAATGAAGTTCTAGCTGATGAAATGCCATAACGACTTGTTAGAAAACTCAGCTGGGCTATCCTTCATTAGCAGGTAATTTTCTTTGGAGTTCTGACATTGTTTATTTTTCAGCTCTTGTGCTTTTAATGCACAAATATGTACACACAAAATTTGACATAAATGCTTGCTGACATAAATATAGTAAGTTATTTACTTATTCATAAGCTTTTGTCCCTCTAAAGAGGGACAAAAAAACAACTCTAAAGAGATCTCTAATTGAGATGCAATTCTTTAAAAATAATATGTGCTAGCAATTCTTTAGCCAGCGATCTCTCTATACACATTATTTTCACCTGTGAATGTCTCCCTAACTTTGATCAACTCTTAGCCAGCAAGGAGAAATACACACACTTCTTTTGCTGTTATGAACTGTCATGCAAAGGGTACTCTGTAAGCTCTGCATCCTGAAAAAGGGAGGGAATAGACCTAGAAGGAAGCTGGCCAACAGCAAGGCAGTACACTACACTCTGTGAGAACAGGGGATAGCTCTGGCTCATATTTCTTTTATGCTGTTTCTTTTGGAGCCCCATTCATAACAATTTATTCTACAGCTGCATGTGACTTAATAAATGTCAGTACACTGCTGGAATGTGTTTAATAGCAGCTTCTACAGATACAGAAACCATGTTCCCAATGCCACCATCAGAAAGAAAAGGAAAGTTCTTTCTCACATCCCTAAGAATAAAATAAAATCAGATTAAAACAGATCTTTTAAAATTGTACCCACTCCATCTCTCAATAAAAGGACACCAGCAAGGCCTTACAGCTGAGGAATCCCTTGAGCTGCCGATTCATTGTATGAGTACAGGCCACTGTGCAGACAATTCTACTGACAGCCTGTGGTTTGTTCCTGAGAGCTCAAAACCTCCTAATTCTGACAGCTTGATCTGCAGTTCTAATGAGTCCCAGTACTGAAGCCCTCATTTATTGACTCAGTAATGCTGCAGGACAGATTAGAAGGCTGTCCTTTTGTTCTGCTTTTAGCTACAAGGTGAGTTACATTATTAATAAATGTGATGGATGTGAAAATGAGACTACAATTATTTTCAACTGAACTGTTCACAGCATGCACAATTCAACATCTGAATTATTTTTTTTAACAATAAAATTTCTCAAACCACTCTGTTAGACTTTTAATGAGAAAAGGATAAACAAAATCTTCAGGAAGGTAAGAACACCCTAGGCTTTCAGGCTACTTCCTTGAGGTTACTTATTCTTTCACAACACTAAGCAGATTTTTGATTTCTGGCTCTTGCAATTTCCATTCCTCTGTTTTTTCAACTCCTTGCATTTTACAGGCAAGTTAAATAGATGGAGAAAACTTTGAGTGTAAGCTGTCATCCTCTTTTTACAGCCATAGAATCATATGAAAATTTGGGCTGGAAGTGACCTTAAAGAACACCCAGCTGACCTTAAAGACCCCCCACCATGGGCAGGGACGCCCTCCACTAGACCAGATTGCTCAAAGTCCATCCAACCTTGCACTGAGAATAGGGAGAATAAGGAATAATGTCCCTTGACATCTTCCTCTGCTGAAAGGAGAGCTGAAAGGAATAGCTTATGCTCAAGACAGTCCCTCCAAATACTGAAGTTTAATGAATGCGACAGCAGCCGTGCTGTGAAGCAGTTCTCATGCTGCATGGGCTGAAGGAATTCTGTCAATAGGTGAGTGGCTGGGCTGACCCCAGCCCTTGCCTTTGCACCCTGAGGTGGCAGCAAGCTTGAGTGAAAAGCACAGTTGATCTCCTTAGATTCCCTGTGGGCACATGGCACTCGGCACAGAGACAGCACTTGAAAAGTCTCTCAGGGTAGCTCACCATGACAACAAGCCCGCAAGTGCCATGTGAACCAGTGCATGAATCTGAGCAGTCTATGTGGAGGCAAAAAATTTGAGACAAACTGTGAGCTCAAAGTAGTGATGGAAAATGAAAGAGATGCATGCTTCGCTTTTCAGGGAGTAGCAGCTGTTCAAATCAAGCCATTTCTGCATCCCTGTTGCTCTGGAGCTTACCAGGAACAGAGTCATTCCTGATTTAATCTAGAGGTTCCTGGAAGTATCATGGTCTAAATTCTCAAGATATGCTACAAATATGCCAGTCCTTATCTTTGCCCCTGTCTCCTACAGAGGTCACTTGGAATTAAACTCAAATGAGGATGGAACAGACCCTGAAAATAAAGAGATGCATGCTACAATGACTTACAAAGTGTCCTCTTTTAGAAGGGAGAATAGCTCTGTGTGTAGGAAGCAACTTGTTTATAATCACAGTTTTCTACAAGACTGAGCAAGCCACTTTAATTTCTCAGTTCTATCAGAAAATATGGGGAAATAAGGCAACTAACTCCCTCGTGTTCTTTGTTTTTAAATTAGAATCTGAGTGATAAGAGTTGTACTATTTTCTGCTATATTGCTTCTATAGTACTGGAGTAAGACGTGTGTCTTTAGGGATCTTTAATCATCACAATATAACAAATAGAAAACAGCAATAATATTTCCTTTAACTTGGTCAGTTTTCTTTATGGCTCTGAGGAAGTCCCCCAGGATTCCCAAAGGCCGACTGATTTGGAAGGGTAAATATAATTAAACTGCTCAGCTGTGGAGTCTGGATCCATAAGGCCAGGCACGGGCTGAGGCATTAGCAGAGGAGCACCTCTGCTGAGCACACCTCTCTTGCCAAGAGGCACAGGGAGGCCACAGGCACTGGGGCATGTGCATTGACCACAGCTCACCCTCTGCCCCCACTCCAAACCCCATGACCACCACAGTCTTCTGCCTCTCTCTGAGACTGGAAGGGTATGTTTTTACAGCTCTTCAGTTCTGATCATAATTTAACTAGACATAGTGCATATAGGCATAAATCCACCCTGATGCCAGAGTTCACCAAGTCTTTTACTACTTGTTGATTTCCCCCCCCACCCCACCCTTGTATAATCCTTTGTGGCCTTTGTTTCTTGCTTAATGATGATTCATTTTACATGCTTACGGTACTATTTACATTTCCCCTTCTCGGTTCATTTCACAGCATTCACCTCTAATGAGTCAGTCAATATAGCACAGTTTGATTTTTAAAAAGCTTCCAAAACAGCTTCCTCACCAAATGCTTCTAAAGAAACTGCATGCATTGAATAAGAGAGAAAGTCCTTTGAGACTTAAGTAACTGAGGAAAGCTGGGGGGAAGGGTGGGAAAACAGTGAGAAGGAAAAGGTAATTTTCGTGAAGACTCGTACTAAGAAGATTTAGTGACATAAATGGCCTACCTCAAGCTGTGTTATATTCAATTCAACATAGGTGTAAGGGATTTGTGAATAATTAGAGGGTGAAAAGCTTACAAATATTTCAGTGGACTAAAGTCTTCATAAGCAGTCTGATGAGGCAATGAAATGGAAGATGAAATTCTGTATCAATAAGCATAAAGCTGTACCATTAGATGTGCATTAGAGATGGGTAAAACCAGAAGTGCTCCAGCATTACGTCATGCCATTGATCAATAATTTCATAAAACTATTAAGGTCCAGGAGGTTGAGAGGATAAATTTAATTTTGTCTATCAAAGATATGCTTTGAAATATTTCTGTCTTTAGTGATGATCCTGCAATTGTAACCCTACTGATATAATTGTGTCTGCATTAATAGAAGACCTTACCCAAATTAGCTGTAACTTTATATTAAACTTTTGTTGCTTTCTATCTAATGATCAGAGTAAGATTAGATTAGATTAATTAGATTAGATTTATTTAATTAAATTTAATTAATTAAAATAAGGTTTATGATTTAATCAGAAAATGTTTGCTTATTTTTAATTGTTTATTTTTAAGATAAAATTACAGTACAACTTCTTGGTTTCCTGTTAAATTGGAAGGATATTTAGAGGAAAGCATTGCTTAACTAGAAGTCAGGGGAGCTGCTCCACTTGGCTGGAACAACTGGGAAATAAAGTTCTTTTATTATCTTTTTATGCAAAAGAAGGTTCCAGACCCCCTTAAACAGGCAGTGACTACCTGAGAACTGAGGTAGCTTTGCAACTGGAGGAAAAAGGTAATAAAGGAATACCAATGTTCCAAAATTCACAGCTAAATTTATGTTTTTCTTAACATCTTTGTTCCTGCTGTTTCCAGAACCTCAGGCCTCACCACTAAAGACTATTTATTTGAAAATGCTGTATACATTATACTACTTTAAGAAGATAGAATGCATCCTTTTACTTAGCTTTTTCTGCTGATTATCTTCTGCACTGCAGCTCAGAAGAGTTCACTGGTGACTCAGAATTACTGTGGCAAAGTCTGACCCTGCTTGTTGGTGTGGTATTAGAGTACAAAGCTCCATGCTAATACAGTTCCCCCTAACAGCTATACTTTCATAGTGAACTGCAATAAACTCCAGTTGGATAATTTTCTTTATAATCATTGTAACTTCTCTGACTTAAGTGATACTTGAATCTTCTTCCTCTTCCCAAACTGGTCATGGGTGCAGAACATACAGAGAAGAATGGGTTAGACTAATGGAGACAAGAAAGAAATGCTTTATGCAGATTGCAAACTGTATCTCTTCACTCATAGTTGGTTCTCAGACAGATTTCTTAGGAACGAACCAGAAATGAGAAAAAAAAAACAAAAACCAGGTTCAGAAAAGCTTCAGGTAACAAATAACCAGTGTAGACCAACTATTCATGTACTTAAAATTAAGGCGTTAATCTTACTGTATTAAAGTTTTGAAAGAGAAGAGTGGTGTGAAAGAATAGGAGAAACACCAGCCCTGTCCTTCAGAAAGTGGCTGAAGATGAATTATTTGAGGTCACTCTTACCTGCAGTACCCAATAAGACCTTTCAAAATTGCATCAATAAAAATGTATGGGAGGGAATATATTCTAAGGAGGATAGCCTTCAATTTTGAATTTAACCAATACATTTGGTAACCAACGCATTATTTGAAAATAAATCAGATTTCAAGTTTTGCAATCAGTGTTTTCTTAAGCACTTTCCCAGGTTCATAGAGTTCTAAGGATGAAGATTTGATATATTTTCAAGAGTAGCTTTTAATGAATTGCCCTTATAATTTATTTTAAAAGAACATACTGTGCAGGAATTTTTATTGCTACCATGTCAAAATCCCCCCATCAACCCTAATGGAAAACCGGTGTATATATTGACTTTTTCTGCAGACAATAATTCTAAGAGGAATTGCTAAGTGCATGATGGAGAGGACAGGAAAAATAACTGGAAGATTTATAGCTACTGGAGGTCATCTATGTCTATACAGGTCTTACATCTTTGCCAATCAGGTCCTCTTGATTTTCCACAATCCCCCAGGGAGCTATACCAATGGTGCAGATCTTCCCTCGAGATTTTGAGGCATGATCTTTCAGGGCATCTCCAACGTGCCGAATGACCCCTGGCAAAGAAACAGCATAAAACAGAAATTAATTCATAATTGTCTTTTTTTGTTCAATGTCATATGGATTTATTATAGAGTTGTTTTTTTAGGAATACCTGTGCCTATCCTTACAATTAAGTAAAGCTATGAATACATTCCTATTTCTCATTATTAATTTCTGTGAATTCATTTTATTGAAGCCAAAAATTATTAAATGAAGTAATAAGGAAAAAACACAGCTTTAGAAAGAAAAATGGAAATGTTGACAGTTGACTGCAGCTTATTTATTTGCACTTGTGCTCACATGTGCATGCAAGCATTTGTGTATTTCCAAGCACAGAAAGAAGCATAGGAATTAATTCTGCTCCTTGCCCCCCACCCCCCAACTCCCTCAGAAGTGCAGCTGGACATAAATGCTTCCATCAAGGATGGAAATGTGAAAATGTCATTATGCTACCCTGAGATGAAGCTATCTTGTCACTCTTTAAAAACAAACTCAGTCACCTGAGATAGCTTCCAGCAGAGTATTAGAACCTGCTCTGGGAATCAGTGAGAAGACAGAAATTAGTACAGAGAGAATGGCTGCTCCCCAGCATTCTTCCAAGTGCTGCTTGCTTACCCTAGACCAGCTTTGGCAGTGTTTCACTGGTATCTCAGTGCAAAGGACAAGTGTCATTCCTCCTTCATTTCAATAAAATAATCTTTTAAAATCTGTCTATTAATGACTATTTTTAAGATGTGGCTGCACTGAAGCAGACTGTGGGTTTTCTGCAGATGTTCTCTGATTCTCAGTTGAAGAGTTTCCATATTTTTCAAATTTCATGATTTCAAGATGACTGGATAGAAATTATGGTCACACAATTGTTAGGAGTCTGGTTGTAGTTTTCTGAGCTGTAAATGACCCAGGGTAAGAAAACTCCCCACAATCTAATAGAGACTCTGTGTCCTCAAGTCTAGTGTTCTCCCTGTGGTGGAAAGTTAAAAAAAAAAACATTTCTATACCTGCCATCAGCTATGAATTAAGCCATGATCCAAAAGCCTAAAGGATTTAAAGCAGAAAATCTGTGCTGACTGCAAAAAATTCTACTGTTTAGAATATTCAACTTTCAGCATGACATGAAAATTCAGAACAACAGTCATGTTTATAGCCAGGTATGCTCTGTCTCTCCCACATCACAGATTCTCAGTCCAGCAGCACAATTTCAGGACTTGTCAGTTATAATTTTCCTTAAGAAAAACACAATTTTAAAATTCACTTTCAGGAAAAGAGACTGTACCAAGAAATTCTCAATTTTTATGATTTCACAAGTAATTTTCAGCTATGCAGTTTGAAAACCTAGTCCCGGAGTAATCAACTGCTTTCCTCCAGAAATTAAAGAGAACAATGAAAGATTACTGATATTGCAAAACTCCTTCTGGAACTGTATGTTTTTAAAACAGCAGAGAGCTACTTGAACTACATTGTTTTGTCTAGGTAGTTTCTGATAACAGGAAAAACAGTCCTTTTCAATAGTATTTATGATTATTTTCCTGGTTCATTTGTATTGTTTTTGCATTTGCAACTATGAGGATTTGAAAAATGGCAGGAAGCAGTTGTGCATTTGCCATGTGAAAGTGTTATCATCTGTCCTTTTTTTTAAAAAAAAATATGTAGTTTGATTTTTACAGTTTCTGTGGTAATCCACTGCATTATGGGTACAACAAGTACATTTTTCTGATATTATTTTAACATAAAATTGACATCTGTCTTTGCTATCATCAAGACAACTAATATTATTATCACCAAGGTGCATAGACCAACATCAACTTGATTTTATTACTTATTTTGAAGAGATGGGGGCCATATTACATTTGGATCTACTTATTTAACACTCCAAAAGCTATGCCTTTTTCCTTCCTTCAGGCACCAAACCTGCCAGAGTTTGGAAAGTGTTTGGACAACACTCACAGACACATGGTGTGATTCTTGGGGCTGTCCTGTGCAGGGCCAGGAGCTGGACACTTTGATCCCTGTGAGCTCCTTCCAACTCAGCATATTTTATGATTCTGTGCTACTTGTATTGCTGCTGTGATAAAACTGAATACTGTTTTGAATTTGATGTGGTCTGGAAACCAAGTCCAAGACTCCTATTAAGAATTTATATTCAAACATGTAGGAGTTGGTCCGCCAAGCACTAAAATTAACGCAGGATAGAATGATTACATTGTTTTCCAGAGACAGTAAGAAGATACATTCTTACTAAAGTAAAAAATTATAGCTTTGCTACTGCAGCAAATGAGAATGACATAAGAATTTACAAGTTCATGTCCTAGCTCAAAGCTTTGTGCAATTCTCTCTAGCAGAACTTTTTTTTTAATTTCCCTTGCATCTCTCCCTCTTTCTGCCACCTTCAAGGATGGTAACTGAGATGCCAATATCAGAATTTTTTGCTTAGGAATCTATGTTTTGCATAGATAGATGTTTTGCAGCTTATTCCCAAAGTGTGCTGACTACTAGCAGAGCTGGGCCAGCTGCTGTCTGGGATCCCTAGGACACCTGTTTGGCATATCACCGATGCCCTTTCACTCAGATAGCACTCTTGATGAAAATGTAACAGCAAAAAAAAATTAAGTTAAGCTCTCTACAAGTAAGGAAGAAGTTTCCCACCACATCCTTTTCTCTTTTAATACTTTGGGTCACCTGATTATATAAAATAAAGGTTCTTTCTGGATGAAAGTGTTTTCAGTTTTGAAAGTGTAATAAGAGCTGGACTTCTTTGATTAGTTCCTGCAGCTTACAGTTGACCTTATAAAGCCTTCTTTGGTGATACACTGATACAATTGCCTTGCAGAAGGCTTTATTTTCAGCTCCAGAGTGTGCCTTTCATACTTGAGCAACCTTTTATTCTTATTCTTTATTCTATTGGCATTTTCTTGTTTTCACATAGTACAGAAATGACAAATATAATAAAACATAGAATGGCTTTCTAATCTCATCATTCCTACCTTTTTTTCTTTTTTGTGATAAAGTCTCCTAGATGCCACTGTGCTTTTATTTCAATGTTGTTCTTACCTGTGTTTACTCCTCCAGTGAATATCCATGCTCCAGTTGTCATTGCAGCCTTAATAAGTCCTTTTCCAAAGACTTGTTTGAGTTTTGGCTGAAGTTCAAAATTCTGAAGGCCCCCGTGCACAGAGATGAGAAGTTTGGGGAGCTCGAGCTGCCACTCTTTGGTCATCAGATGCAGAAGAAGGTCAGGCTTTGTGTCAAAAGACACACGTACATACTGCAGAAACAAGGGCAACGGTAGAGAGTAGAGAAAAAAAGATTGGTTATAACCACTGGTTTCTAGTATGTGTTATCTGTGTCCAACAGATCTTTTTTTTTATGACAAAACCAGTAACTTGCTAATCTGATGATTAGTTTCCTAGTTAAGAAACTAGGAATAATGGAACACCGAGAATTCACAGGCTGGATAATTTTCTTTATTTAGGAAATTAAGACATTAATTAGTTCAAAATCCTTTGCAATGCTTGAAAGATTGATGTCTACAACTTATATATGCAAAAACTGGACCAAAAACGTAAGAGGTATGCCAAAGATGACCTAGATAGTCAGAGTCACAGCTGTGTATTTACTTGTACCTCATTTTCAAATTAACAAGGTCAAACCCTCAGAAAGTAAGAAATAACAGAAAAAAATTCAGTTCTTCAAGCACCCCTAAGTTTAAACTGAGCAAGATCACTAAATTGAAACTTTCCAGATGAAAGAATGCTAACTATGTACGATTTGTACAGGTTCATGATCTTGCCTTAGAAGACTCTAAAAGGGCTGTGAAACAAATTGATTAATTTCCAGTTGCTGGCTGTTTTGTGCTACACATGCAGCAATTTGTGACAGGGGAGATCATGTCCATCTGTGTGTGCTCAGAGATAACAACTCTCTTCAAAATTTCTACAGCACTACCATGTCACACAAATACCTTCCTCTCTCTGTTACAAGCCTTTCTCCTACTCTTTTCTGGTGCTGTTTCACAAAACCTGTGACAGGCAGGTGATATTTTTCGAGCTCTAGTTGCATAGCAGAAACAGGAAAAAATTCTTTCTGTAGCTGCTAAAATATGGAAGGACCCTCTTAATAAAATAAAATAGGTTGCAGAAAGCACTCGTCTGTCAAACTTCTGATTGAATCAAGGGCTGAAGAGCAACTTCAGCAGTCCTTCCGTTGATGGGCTGTCAGCACAGACATCAGGTGTGTATACCTTTGCCTTCAGCTTGAGGAATACCTAGTCCTAATTTGTTCATTGTAACATGCCAGGTAGTATAGTAGCCATACATATTATGTAATCATTTAGTCCCTTTTTGACACATCTAATCAGTATTTCCTGGCCAAACTTGTTTTTTTTTAGCAATACCATATGATAATAAAGGGGATTCCCTACTAGTTGAATAAGAAATGAGGACTCTATAGTTTCCAGAGGGAACTGCTAATAGGATTTCTTGCAAAAATGGGTTGTTGCACAGTAAACATCTACTGTTAACATTTCTGAAAGCAGAAGCCTATTTGCACAATCAGCTGGGAGGACAGAGCCAGCCTGGAAGCTGAGCAAGAACTTGGGAATGCACATTTCCCCCAGTGCATCAATAATGTTCTCTGCAGCAGATAGGCAAACTCACAACAGCTACTGGACAGAAAAAACACAGTATTAATGTCTGTCAAGTTCATTAATACAGATGAACTGCCTTCTCGGTACCTACTCAGTCAGTTTTCAGTGTGCAATAAAATCTTGTATGAAATCCTCATCCCACTGACTAGACTGAGACATTAATAGCTTTAAAATCGGGATTTGAGGGTTGTCAAAGTTTTAACAGGAGGAGGTACAAGAAGAATGACCCTTATTCCCTTTTTTATGTCTTAAGGGAGATCTGAGGCTGTAAAGAGCAACTGGAGACATTCACAGACAACATCCTTCACAGGGCCAACATGAAAGCTCTGCTGGTCAAACTATGAAGTCTTTGGTTTGGAATCACTGGTACCTTACCCTGCTTTTTGGTGAAGACAGGCTGCAAGTCTTAAGAAGATAATTAAGGTGAATTCACACTGGCAATGACCATACAAATATGTTGAAAAAATGCCATTGCATCATCTGGGATGATATTAAGATGAAGGCACAAATAGCATCAGATGTGTATCATCTAATCTGGACAGTGATTACTTTTTCCTTGTTTTTTTGACTCTTCAGCTTTTTTTTAAATACCTCAGAATGTGTGATTTCACTGTCCCTACCTTTTTAAGTCTATGTATTACTCTTACACATGAAGACCTCTGAATAACAATAAATATAAATCTACAAAGTGAAGAAGGAAGTATTTTCTTGCATTTATTTGAAATGTAGATGACTTGCATTGGAAGCAACTGCTTGCTTTTTATACTGCAGGCAGACCCCCTCTATACTTAGGATAATTTTACTTTACTAAGTGGAAATCTAAGGAAAATAAATATCTAACCTTTTTTCATGTCAATTAAAATTTAAATAAAATGAGATAAGATTTACTGGTTTAGAAGTTTTTGGTAATGATGCCAAACATGATTTTTCTTTTGTGTATCACATTCAATTTTTATGACGATTTGTATAACTTTTGCTCTTACAGAGGCAATTTTTAGTTTGGCATACTTGAATTTACTCTTTTGCCGTTACTTAATATGTTAGCCAATAACTAAAAGATAATTATTTTGTCATATTTTTAAAAGTTTACATTCAATTATAAATCACACCTTTAAGGCCACTTTTGCCTGTAACAAAAATTCATGTCTTCCAATATTGTAATTGAGTATTTAGCCCTATCAGTTTTTACTTAGAATGTTAATGAGTATTTCTGCTGTTCCTGAATTCTCTTGCTACAGCCTCTGAAGGCAGATACAACATTTGAATCTCAGCCAAACCACTGTGCTGTCGTGCTATGAAATTCCATGCATGGTGTATCTGTCAGCTGCAGAAACCATCACTTCTAATGGGAAATGATTTAGCCCTTTCTTTATGGGAGAAGTATATGGATAGGATGCAAGAATTCAGTTTTTATGTGTCAGCAAAGCAGGAAAGTTAGGAAGCAAAAGTACAATTCTGAATAACAAAATCTACAGGCTGACCTGACTGGCATCAACATGGAATGTGAAAGGACAAAGCATCAAGCTCAAGCTGTAGTGCCCATTTCATCCCTAGACTAGCACAGTGGTAGTCAGCAAGAGTGCATTTGCTGCCAATTGTTGCTTCACATTTTTGTCAAGTGTTCTCTAAAACAAACCTATGCCCAGCATCTGTCAAACAGCCATACACTTCCAGGTTTGACTCCAGTGCCTTAGAGCAAACGTCAAAGATTCTGAGGAACAGAATTGCTACTCTTTACTTAAGCACAGCTGTCTCACTGAAGTACTTGGTGAATGATTGCAGATGTGAGTGTCAGTGATTAATTAAAGAGACTCAGAAATTTGTTGTATTTCTGAAAGTAAATCTATTCAGATAACGTTTTGTGATCTGCATTCTAACATTGCTCCTGTGTTTCTTTTCAGTTACTAAAGTTTCACTACAAATACATCTTCAATTTAACGACTGGCTGCCTCAAAGTGTGATCCTCAACAAAAAAAACCAAAATAAACAACAACAAAAATTAGATGTAATTCTCACTGAATTCAGCAAAAAACCTGCTCTTAGACTGAAACCAGATTGGTTCTGCATAAGTTATTTCTTCTTAACACCTCAAGGCCTAATCCATGGTCCACTAAGCAATCAGTGAAAGGACCGTTGATTTAAATGGGCTTTGGATAAAGGTTTTTCTGTGTTATTTCCCCTTTTCTTTCATGTTGAACACCATATATTAAATTCCGTAAATATTTTTTAAGAATTAATTTACTATAACAGAAACAATGTTTCCTGCCTTTTCATGGTTTATGTAAGTTTCAGGATAATCTTTTTTTTTCCTCTCAAAAACCCAGATGACTTTTGGCATACTTTTCATGCAGTTTTTATAAAACTCAATGTATTTCAAACCAAGAAAAATACCTTTTTCTGTGTCTGACTTCCAAATACCCTGAATAAAGTTTTAAGGATCTGAATATTAGCAACTATGTTTAAGTAATTGTTAATGTTCATTGGAATTCTACTGATGTTCTTTCATGTTTCTGTGAACCATAAGAAAAGTTAAGCAGATAAAACCGAAGCAAACTTCTTTTCTTTTGTAGCTGAAAACTTCTTTTAGGATTTTGCTCTGCATATGAAATGTATCATTGAAATACATTCAGTGAGGAGGAATCTGTTTAACTCACCAAAGGCTTTTCAAACAGTCATCTTCCATTTAACCCTGAAAACCCATGATGAAAGAAATTTTCATTCTACAAAGAGCAATCCTTCAAAGAAGTTTATAGGCAACCCAGGCCCACCAATTAATGAGAGAACATTAAGGCTGTGTATGTGTAAAGGCAGGTAGTGTATTAAAAAAATGGGTTCAGATTGCCCACAAGTGCAGTGGAAAATGCATTACACCAAGATTGTCTTAATTGGTACACTGATGAACAGAATATATTTTCAAATTTTTTCAGAAGATTGCTCTTCATTGGAATAGAATTACTCACATTAGTTTGATAATTGCTTTCTGACTTAATAAAATGCCAGTATAAAGTTAGATAAGCATTGCTTCTTAAACTGCAAAGAGCCAGCTAATGAAGGAGATCATAATTTATTAGTTTTCCTGATTTTTTATCAATTTTATTTGCAAAACCTATTAATAAAATTTATGTATATTCACATACCTCTCATCTTTTTACAGTTAAATTTGCAAATCTGCTATAAAAAAAAATAAATGCAGACAAGCAAAATTGTTAATTGTGTTTCTTACATATTAATGGGATGAGTCACTTGTAAAGAAAATATAAGACTGACAGAGATCTAAATGCCACAGTCTCATTGCAGGATCATCTGTGGTTGCATGAAATTGGAGGAAAGGTCTTTCTAGTAACTGATCTCGTTAACCAGTGTTATCTGATCTCTGCTATGTGCAGAGCCTCTGTATGATTTCCTGCACAAATTGTTGAGCTGCTCACATTACTGATTTAAGGAGGATAGTGCAGCTGCACTGAAGACTAACAACTCCATGGCATTAGCAAAAGTCATGCTGTTTGGGAATTTTTGTTCCATGTGGCTGTGGAAATGAAATTAATGCTCCAGTCAGTTCTATTGACAATATGTAAACCTACATCTTTGCTGTTTTTTCCAAATCCATGTGTTCTGTTATAATTTCAGAAAAATTGTAATTTCCACAGCTAAAGGTCTGTTTGTCGCTGTCTGGTAGCAACTGATATAATATTGTATCATGAAAAGTGTAATTACACTTACTATATATTTTGTATTAAAATCTAGTTCTGTTACTTCAAACAGAGAAAATAATTATCTGTCAGTTTTACATGCACTAATCTGTTCAATTAATTGACTCCTGGTTTGCCAGTTTTAAATCTAAGGTTATGGTTCCTATTAAAAAACTCCACCTAATTCTTTGTACTCCAATTCAGAAAAAAATTAACATTTTTGCTTCTAGCACAGACCAAGAAAATGTGTTTCCCTTGCTTAGTAATCTTCATGTGTAGGCATCCATTTCAGGAAATAAAAGAAAGAATAGGTGGAAAATTTAATGCCAATTTTTTCCCCTGAGGTTTTCCTTGATTTGTCAGCTTGCCAAATCTTGCTACTTTGTAAGGTTATTTTATTAGCCAACAGGCACAATACAAACCTACCAGGAGTGCCAGCAAAAAACAGCTTGCATGCTACAGTACTATTTGTTAGCCAGTAGCTAGAAAATCACTAACACATTTTTAGAAAGGAACAAATTTATCATGATTTTCCCCCTTTATCTTTCTTCCTTTATCCACATTGATCAGCTTCTCTGCATTTGAGTTTGAGAATGTACAGTTGAACAAGAATATTTCCAAGAACTACTATGTACTTGCTCCTTTTTTTTTTTCAAGCTTTATTTTATAAATATAATGTCTCTTTTTTCCCTCCTTTGCTGAAAAAGTTGGTGGGTTCCTTTGATTGAGAAAATTCCTGGCTTCCACAGAAAGCTTTAGATTTGTTAAGTTTTATTTATTACAGGAAAATCCTAGTACCCAGAAATGCAAAGGCAGGAGTTTAATTTTCTAATTTTAATTTTCTATTAATAAAATGGCAACAACTGTTGCAAGTTAGGCAACTTTTTCACTATAGTCTACCCTAAAATAATGTTTGGGTGTGGAAATATGAAAACAAGGACATCTTCATGCTGCTTTCTGTCTCAAAACACATTATAACAAAGTTCTTTAATCTGCTTCCATTTAAATGGTTATGCAAGCCTCCTTATCTGTGTCTTGGTTTTATGTAAGGTATTCTCCTCACTGGTGGTAAGCAAGCACAAAACCCATTCAAGAGATATTTCCTGAATTGTTTAATTTGAAGCACTTTTCCCACTAGTGGAATAATCAAATTTCTGGAGATTTTATGGATTTTTTTTAATGAATGCAGAATTTGTTTTATTCCCATATTTTGGGTGGGGTTTAATGATTATAGATAGATAGCATGTGCAACTCCTTGATTCTAGTCTGACAAAATAAATCTGGAGAGTTTCCAGCAATATCATAATTTATCCCTAAGTTTTAACTTGTTATTTAGTTTTCTGAGAGTTTAACTCCCTTTTTCCATTCTCTTTCTTTTTTTTTCTTTTTTCTAAATTGTTCATGGTTTTATTCCTGTCTGCACTCTGTTACAGAGTGAGCACAGGGTGTGACTGTGTTTTTCTTTCCTTTAAGCTGACTTCCAGTTTTATCTCCACAGTTTTACTTCAGTTGTACTTTGAGCACACAGCATGAATCTTAGAGCATGTCCTGTCTCCTCCAGCACTGTGCTAGGACATCAGAATCTCAGCAAAGATGAGAAATCCTCTACAGGAACTGGTGCCTACAGCTTCCCTAAAACCTTCATCATTTCTTGGCTCTCCAAGACTACTTTTGTCTGGGCAGGGCTGTTCATTGCTTTATAAAAATCTTCAAGGACATCACTAAAAAAGCTCTGGTGGTTATCCCTTCTCATAAAACTGATTCAATGCAAAGAATCCATATATGGTTAATAACATTCATTACTGTATCTTTGGACCTCTGGCCTTGCAAATTTTTAGGTGACTGGTTATCAATTCAACATATGATGTCTGTGATACTCTCAGAGAAATTACCTAATTTTCTGCTTCTTGGTGCAGCAGTGCTTTCTGATTTCTATGAAAAGAAGCCACCCATCTGCACAAACAGAATCATCCACTTGAGCAGCCACTCCAACTCCAGCCCCTCTCTACATGTCTGAGGAGAATATTTTGCCCTCGCTAGCATAGTACCTGATATTTTCACTGTCTCTGATCTCTGCTCTTTATGACAGACCTGAGACACCTGTTGGGATGAACTAATGCACAGGAAACAGTACTGGATTGCTGGGCAGGTTATTTTGCAGAGTGCCCAGGAGTTCAGCTTCTGCCCCCACTGCCAAAGCAGTGCATTGGCCATGAAGTGCTAGCCACATACTCCTCTGTCCTTCCCAAAGATCAAGGTTCTGCAGTTTAGATAGAGTCTTTAGAGAGATTGTTCCTTTCATGTAATATTACACAGGAGAAACACATGCATGGGTTAGTGGGTATGCTGGAAAGATTTCTCTAAGTTAGTGGAGCAAAGCCTTCAGATCAGTGCACTTTGGTATCTCTCCACAGGGAAGGAGTAACTTCTTGCTCGAGGGGTTTCCTAGTTCCTAGATTAGACACTTCCTGGGGCCTCTTATTTCACTGAAATATTAACCATAAATCTAACTGGTCTGTCTTCTGATACATGTCTGGAGGAATACTAAAGGCAATTTGGTATGTTTAAAATTTGTCATCTTTGCAGACACAGCCAGCAATGGGAAATCATAGCTGAATTCAAAAATTATTCAGAAAAAGAGGGATGAGAAGCCATTGGAATAAAATGAAGACAGCAGTACATTAACGTGTTTTCAGCCTTCATAAAGGTAGCTCCTCTTACACTGCTCTCCAGCTTTTACAGTTAATTTTGGTCACCTGCTCCTTGGCACATGATACATAAAAACATACATTCCGGTCGTACACTCAACAATACTTTAGCATGAAGTTAAGAAAGAACGTCGTTCATCCTTTGTGAACGTTTACTTTTAGCTAGCAGCATTATTTATCTAAGAGAAAAACATGGTTACCATGGCTTTATTGGAGTGGCCTCCTCCTTGGAACTCAATGGTTCCAAAAGCGTCCGTCGGGCTGAGCTGGGTGTGCTTGCTGATGGACCACTTCTCCGACTGGATGTCATTGCGAGTAAGCCTGGTTTCATTTTTCTCGTTCTGAGTAACGGAGGCGCTCGGAGGCTGTCCAATGTGTTGGCCTGTTAGACGCCCACAGCAACACCTATGACATTAGGCAAACAGAAAACACGAGTCATGTGTGTGTATAAACTGAACGGGGAAACAAGCTACAAAAGGAACCCAACCCCTTTTCAACTCTGCTGATTCCTTTCCTGAAGCCTTTCTGTATGGAAGGAACACAGTACATATATTACCCGTTTTTTTCCTGCGTCTTGTTTACTTTGGACTCTCCTGTATTTCAAAAAAAATCATGCTTTGTTCTATATAGATATGAAATTAAATTAAAGAACATCTTCTTTTTTCTTCAAGTAACATCAGGACAGGCAATCAGCTTTTGTACGGATTACCACAAATTTTAAATTGCTAGTTTAATGCTTCTATTTGCTTTTGACAGTGTTGTGTGTCCAATTTAGGTAACTACTCAGTGCACTGAATATTGAGCTAAAAAGATAAGGAAATTAAACACAGATGTTGACCCACCCCTGATTTATCTTTTTTCTTACAAAATAAGTTTTGAAATGTAAACAAATAGTTCCCTTAGGAATCCATCACTCCAGATGTAATTCAACCACCTTCTGAACAAATAAGTTTACAAAATATTTATATCCATTGTATGCATTTATATATAGAGAGAGAGACTTATTTTTTAACCAACTTTCACAGTTCATACAAGTAACATGCAATTACCTATGGGGGTCTTTGGTGCTGGGTATGATGTGAACACATTCTCTCTTGTAAAATGCTCTTTCTATCCATGATTTCTGTGCCTAAAAAAGAGAAAGGAAATGCCTTGAGCTCTGTTTGCTTATTATATACAACTTACAGCGCAACTGTAGAAAAACTTCAAAGAGAAGAGAAAATTTCACTGACCCTTCAGATAGGCAGTGCATATTTTGCAGAGGGCAAACATTCCCTTAGAAGCATGGTTTCCTTCTACAGCTAAGCACCCAACACAAGCTTTTAATATTCTTTTCCTATTCACTAGCCAGATGACTTTGATGCTGTTACCTTTATTCTCACAACAGAGGAAGAAATCTCTGAAGAAGAATTAACTCAAACTGTAAACCTTTCTGCACAGCAGAAGAAACACTACAGCGATTCATTAAAAACACCTCTGTTTCCATGTCAGTGATACAACTAAGTCAGCTCTAATTTACAAAAAACCTACAGACAAACCAACCAAATTACCCAAAAAATTTTTACACAAGCACTGAGAGTGCTATTAATCACAGACACAGAAACTACAGTTTCTATGTGGAAATCTTAATTTAAAAAAAAATAAAAATAAAAGAATAAAAAAAATCTGTTTCTGAAACAAGACAAAATATTTTAACATGTTGAGTCAGATGATTGGCAGTTAGCCTCTAAAATAGCTCACTGGAGCTATGGTTGTTCATAACACTCAAGGCCTTCCACCACATATCCACAGAAAAGCAGGAAATTTCCTGCAGCATAGTCTTAATTGTCAGATACACAGGAAGTCTTTTTAAACAGAAAGATGGGTAGGAAAGGAAAAGGGAACAGAGAAGAACAAACCCAAAACAAGAAAGGAGAGAATTTCAGAGTTCTGAAATATTTTTAATTATCTAGGAAATCCTCACTCCATATAATGAGAGTTCTGGCAAGCTCTCTAAAACATTCTCACACATAGAATTTTATTATTTCATTTACTATGAAGAGTTGAAGTTTTCCTTTGAAAATTCATTTGAAACAGGTTAACTTAATATATTTAAACAATAAAACTACCCACTTAGCTTCACAGCATAAACAGAACCATAAACTAACTATGAACTATGAAAAATTATATGAGAATTCAAACAATTGAAAGGAAATACTAGCTTTTTACCTCTATGAAAGGAGAACTTTTGAAATTGCCTATGTAACATAACCTCACTAACTGATGTTACTTTTTCCTATGCAAGGATATATAACTAATACCTATGTGTTACTTTTACTAACTAATGTTACATCACTATCTAATGTTACCTTTTTGTTAATTCAATCTATGTCCCGTTTTCCATGTTTAAAACGACAACCCTCTGCTTCTGGAACATGTGAAAATCACTTAGAACTAAAGGCATTTCTTGGAGTTGGTGAATGCCACCAGCACAAAATACAAAATAACAAGAATTTCTAGCTTAATCTACCACATACTAGTCCCAGTATACAGAATTTATTATTTTGCTTTTTACACAGAAAATAATTCCTTGGTGGCTCTGGTGGTTATTGGTGCTCTTTAGCAATATTTTATTTTTGGTCTTCTTGCATTTTTATTTGAAAAATCTGCTAGACTTCATATTTTGTATGAATAGCAGATATCTAGAATCACTTTTATTGTCAGAAAAAAAAAAAAGGTCTATTAAAACCATTAAATAAAACTGTATTTGAATGGTCTTTCTCGCAGTAGCAAACAGAAGGTTAATGTGTTATAGAAGGTTGGGCAAGATTTGTTTTGTTTAAACAAAGTACAGTTAAATAGAAATTCTGAAAGATGAAAAAGTTTTACATCACCTAAGAGAGATTACCTTGAGATTTTATTTAACTTCTAAATATCCTTTATTAAATATATTATTATTTTCATACTTTTCTGCAAACAACTGTAGTGAATTTCCTAGCTACATAGAACTAATGTGTCTTTTTTAAAGGTGGGCACTAGCTAAATTTATCTCAAGTTCCAGTACAAAAATATGCCATAACATGTACTTCATGGAAATATTTTCTTTAGGTATAAAAGCAAGCTTTCAAAACCCAAGAAACTGATATTTAAAATTTGTGTTCCCACTCTTCCTCATATTGTCTTTGCCAGTTGAAAAGAAACACATCTACATGAAAAAAAATAATTAATAATAATTAATTATTAATTAATAATAAAACTAATAATTTTCATTTGAATTTTTGTCACATTTCTTCACAGGTAATATTGCAAAAATAATAGTCAGGTTTAAAATCTCCTTTATTCATATCAGGACAAGATGCTTTCCAGCTTTTAGGTCTCAAACAATATAGTATCCTACCCGGCAGAGTTGTGATGACAAAATATGTGATTTACTAATGTCATAATTCCTTGTCCTTCCAAATTTGAAGGAAAGCATCTGGTTGCACTGCCTCATGCCAGTTATCTTTATGCAACACATATAATTTGCAATGAACTGTAAAGTTAAGAGATATAATAAATAATGCTACTTGCTGTAGAGTCTTCGTAACAGAATAACTTCAGGAAATCAACGAATCAATGAATAATTATATTCATAACTAAACTGTTTGAATGAAACTCTTACTTATAATGCAAATTAATAAAGTAATAAAAAGTTTAGAAGACTATGGCAAAGTATTTTCAAGACTAGTAGAGCAAGAAGAAGCTTATCTTCTCTTTTGTTTCATAAATACTCTTTCAGTAGTAGTTAATGAGACAATTTAAAGTCCACAGTGAATTCATAAAGTACACGCCATATTTGAATTTAGTTTATTCACAGCTTAACTCTCTGGCTAAGTCCCTCTCTTTATTAACCTCACTGCAAAATCCCACCAAGAACATTTTCTTTCTCTCTTTTCTTTACCTGAAGTCCTGGTTTAGGGACAAACTTGTATCAGACTTGGTGTTTCAGGCTGTCCCGGAGCAAATCCTGCTGCCCACGTTTCGCTGCCACGGCCGCTCATTGCTAACAACACGTTTGTGACCGCACAGGGCGCAGCCATGCGAGAGCCAGCAGAGCCCTTGCACCCATTAGCTGCTTGGAATGTGCTGCTGGGGGATTAGCCTTGTTAAGGGTCCAGTGGGCACTCACCCATGGCCCCACAACACCACTTGGTTTGTACATCTAATCTGATGCCAAAAGAAAAACAAATCCCTTGAGGGCTTGGATTTAACTGGCACAAGCCTTGATGGGCTTTTTGTCTCCTCTGTTCTTTGTCCCTGAGAAAGCAAGCTGGTCAAAGTGTGATAAGAGGCTCTGAGTTCTTAAGTTTAACTCAGGAAAACCAATCCATCAAAAGAAACACTGTACTAAACTGGAAAGAGCTTGAGAACACAGGAGAAACTGTTAAGCTCCAAAGAATGAAAGCAGTGTGTTTATTGGGCAACTGTGAAAAATTTATACACAGTTGAAATATATTGCAAATAATCAACAATGGCATTTTTCCAAAGAAATTTGGGTTTTTATCACTTTTTCCCACCACTATTGCTGTACTGTAGTGCATATAACTTTTCATAAAAACAAACTTTTGTCTTTCAGAGACAAGCAGCTGCATTGTTTTAGTCGTAATTAACAGCCAGTAACTTTAACCAAAACTTGAATATTTGCAAATATTTGGGGTCTTCTTTACTGTGCTCTATTGATATGAACACATTGCTCATATGAAGGCTGTTCTTGATGAACAACCTTTTCATATGAACAATGCCTTAATATTTATTTTAATACCTAGCAATAACATAGATTTAGTTACTTACTTCAAGAGTTTTCAACACATAGTATTTTGACTCTTAACCCCCACCACCATGTTTCCATTAGCTCTTCTCTACTCCCACATACGCCTACATCCCTTCCTTTCCTTATCATTAAGGGTGCATCTAATGTGTGAAAAATACTCTGTCCACCCTTGGTATTGATGAATACACAAGCACTGAACTGTTCTGCACGTACATTAGCTCTGATGGGCCAAGAATGGGCAAGGCTGAGAATATGCATCAACTTTTAAACTTATTACACCATCACATACGTGGAGAAGCTGGCTAATCCATGAGATTGCTTTTGTCTCTTGGTTCCCTAAGTTTTTGTGTAAAATACAGAAATGTATTTTATAAATATCAATGTATATACTAAGAATGTACATACACATACTCTCTGTGTGTGTACACATACACACACACACACACACACACACACACACACACACGCACATTCTTTTCCAGCAAACCTGTGACCTGTGAGGTTTCTGAAACAGAGATTGCGTGCTTATCTTGTCAGATCTCTTAAACACAGGATCAGACCAAAGATGGTCTGTGGAGAACAACAAAGGTGAAGTTGCAGCCAGGAAAGCAGCTAGTAAACAATTCAGTGAGGTAAAGAATATGATGGGGAGTCAGCAGGTAAAGACAGCTTGCTTTTTTAACGCTAGGGAATTTGGTTTGGTTGAGAGGGTGGAGAAAAAGGCGAAGAAAGGAAAGATCTCATGACTGAGATAACTGGTTAAAAATCTTAACTGACTTTGAAGTGAAACCTCAGTATTTGAACCTGACAAAATTATGGAGATTGATCCTGGATTCAAGTTTCAGTGTACACAGTAACATGGGGCAAAAGCCACGTCTCTTGTCTTAAGAAATCAACAAAGGAAACAATGGTTATATTAATTCCCATATGTCACCCAATGGCACTAGGATTTTTTTATAGGTAGGGACTTTGGAGTTGGCATATACAACTCATGATACAGGTAATTACAACTGTCTTTGCTCATTTAAAGGTGCATTAACTTAGTACTCTGTGGCAATGAAACCAACAGCGCCACATACATATTTCTATTTTTTGAGGAGTAATAAAGAGCCAGTATACAGAGACAGTTTTTTTTTTCAATATGGTACAGCTACAAAAGAGTACTTTCAGAGGTGGATGCTGCCCATTTTGTGACAAAAATATACATATTCTTTAAGTCTTCCACTCAGCTCACTGTTTATGAAACAAAGTATTAGAACAGCAGTGAGCATGAACTCAGTTACGGTTGCTCATGGGAGGTGAGGGTGAATATTTAAAGACAGGTTTCACTGGGGAAGGAGAGGTGCTTAAAGCCTTTCTCTTTGCAGGGGGACAGAACAGCTGAATAGGCAGTGGAGTATTACTGAAACAAATTACAGTGAAGATTTAGAGGAGCATATGGTGATGGAGCAGCGTCAGTGCTATTGCAAACTGATGTCATTAGCATTCCTTAACCAAATGGGAACATTTACAAATTCCACTGTCTCTGAATAACTCTGTAAACTTCTATAGCTATATTAGTACAAAGGAAGGAAATGTTTCAGTTTAACCTTATTAGAAGGTGTGCTTGGGACAAATTTCTAAGCCTCATTTCAACACTATGCAATTATAAGCACTATAAGCACTTTTACATCACTCTTGAAGCATTAGGAATTTACCTGTCTGGAAATTAAGTCAGGAATCATTAGGCTGTCCCAAAAGATTTCATTTTCTAACAGAAATTTCTTCCTAGTAGCATCTTAGAGGCTGGCAATCTGACTTCTACCCACTAGAGCTGTACTCAAGTATGTTTTGTTCTTTTTCCAACAGGCTTCTCAAGTACTTTATCATCAGAGCTGTTACAAAAACAATGCTGAATTGTCTTGAAAATCAAGTTGTATTCAGTATAGAATAAGAGGGCATAGAATACAGTAATTTATTGTTACAGTATGTTACAGAAATGATATCCTAGCACTGTTTACCAGATGTACTTTTTATACTCTACTTAGAAGAAATAGAGTAATTTAAAAATAATTAGGAGCTTTTCATTCAATGGTTAATGATTTTAGTAATTATATCTGACATTTTTCTTACTGCAATGACACAAAAGAAAATGCTATGTCTCTGCTAATGCTACTGTGGAAATGTGCATTTATGCTTTATACAGACATTATCTGGAACAAGCATATGCCATTATAATCCATGCCATTGACAAATTAACTGAAAGCTTAACAGATATTTTAAAAAGAATTAGGGGGAAGGATTAGATCCAAAATTGGTGTAGGCACCCATGTTCCTACAGACCTCCTTAATTTCTGTAGAAGTGTAAGGGGAAAATTTTAAAGAAAATGTCATAAAAATGAAGGATATATTGTAAAGAACAGTTTCAGAACAGTTAAGTGTTTTCTTCTTATGAGTTTTAGCATATGAATGGAAGAATGAAGCTTATCAACTTCATTCATGAAGTTTCTTTAGATACATATTTATGATTTCAGCAAAATTGCTGTGAGTTTAAAGTTATTTAAATTAGTAAATAAACCCTTTCTAGCAAGAAAGCTTACTAGATCAGATGATGGGTTCATCTAGACCTCTGTTTGATCTCTAGCAGTATCATAAATGAGGGGCTATTAAAAAAAAAGCAGCTGTAAAAAAGGGAAAACACATCAAATATGTATAATCCTCTCCCCTAAGAGTTTCTCAGCTAACAATTATTTTCTGCTCATGGACTTCCTGTAGAGCTGTGATTTCTACATGCTCTGTAACCCTTCATGGGGTTTCTCCTACCAACTTGCCTTGTTGATTTCTTGCAAGCTTTCAGCATCTTTACATCTTTCTCCTTGCTGCAGAGGGAAACACTTCCTTCTGTTTGCT